AGTTTAGGGACATTCGGTGCAATTAACTCAAAAAAAATGAATGAATAAAGTTTAGTGAAAGAGTGCGGCCAATGTAAACCGCCTAGCTAGTCCAAGTTATCGGCTCGGAAGATTAGTGTTGATTTCAACTATATTTTAATGGGGCTCCACCCTTTATGACGGTCCGTGTCAACATATGTGAGTTGAAATATGGTCCCCATTGTTTGAAAAATATTTCAACAATGTTCAGGCCATGCCATATGCCTTTTAATCACACTGTATTGTATCTATCAAGTGATGGTCGAAAAAAATATCTTCTTATGCTTTTGTTGATGCGCAATAAGGGTAGTGGTTCAAGGTGGTTGTTGGTTTGGGAACTACCTGTTCGCCTTATTTAAAAGAGAAAATAACATTAGTGGTCGAAAATATTTTATAATATACGATTTTAACTAATTTTTTTTAGATTTACCAAAATGACCAACAAATTTGTAACGCGAACTCCAAATTCGCAACCCAATTTCCAATTTCGCAACGCGAATCTGTAAATCGTAACACAAAAGTCAAATTCGCAACGCGAATTTGTAAATCGCAACACAGAAGTCAAATTTGCAACGCGATAGTCAAATTCGCAACACATAAGTCAAATTCGCAACGCGGAAGTCAAATTTACAATGCGAACTCCAATTTCGTAACATGAATAGTAAAATCGCAACGTGAATAGTAAAAGCGCAACGAATCTATATGTAAATTATCTCTTATCATCCATCTATAATAATTTGTTGGAAAAGTACATAAATAATTTTTATAAAAAATATTCGTAAACGTGAAAAAAATTTATATGTAAATGAACAACAAATCTATTTCATTTATCAATCTTCATTACAAATTATTCTAAATTCAATTAATTAAAGTTTGAAATTTGAAAGAATCCTTAACTCAAACTAATGAAGTACATTTAAAAAATTAAATTTTGAATTATATTAAGAAAAAACTGATTCTTGTACACATGTAGATAAATTTTATTTCTACTTAAAATCCCAATCTAGAAGCATAGAGTTACCATTTGAAATTCGCAACGCGATTTTGCGATTTTCTAAATTCGTGTTGCGATTTTTCAATTCGCGTTGCGATTTTACTATTAACATTGTGATTTTACTATTCACGTTGCAATTTTACTATTCACATTGCAATTTTTACTATTCACGCTACGATTTTGGAAACTGAGTTGCGAAATTGGAGTTCACGTTGCAAATTCGAGATCGCGTTGCGATTTTATTGGTCATTTTGGCAAATCCAAAAAAAGTTGGTTAAAATCATATATTATAAGGCATTTTCGGTTACTGAGGTTATTTTCTCTATTTAAAATAGGTCGACAACTCTTGGTGAGAGTTGTCACTTATTGTCGGAACGATTCTAAGTCCTAATTCAATCTCGATCTAAGTAAAAAAAATATGTTTAGAGTCGCCATCGATTTTTTTTATATTTCCAACATACGAGACATCACATTTATAAAATCTAAGAAACATTTCGAAGTTTAATATGTACTAGCTCAATCTCTAACCTTTAAAAGCATCATGTTTTAATCTTGTACAACAATGATCATTTCTTTAGCTTCGAAGGGCTCTCTCTCTTTTCTTATTAGCTATCATACAACCGTGAAAACAATTTTTCAATCAACCCACCATTAAGGATGAATGAAAATATTGATTTAGAACACAAAGATGAACTAGAAAATGTCATAAAACCTCATATAAGTGTAAACCATTATTAAACCATTCTTTCAAACTTCTTACTATGAAACTTGAAGAATGAAAGCATTTCATAGAACTCTCGAGATGAAGATAATGATTCTTATCTTCTTTAATCTCAATGGATGCTAAATATTAGAAAGTTAGCTCATTTTGTCACTTTTAATAGTCTGGAGACTTAATAAGACAATGTCTTATAGTCGAAGTTAGCTCATTTTGTCACTTTTAATAGTCTGGAGACTTAATAAAACAATGTATAGTCAGAGAACTATTTTGTAACTTTTAATAGTCGCGTGATTCAACAAAACAACATCTCATATTCAGAGGACCGTTTGCATATTTTAGTCATAAAAATAATAGCAGACGTGGATTAGTCTTTATTTTTTTAAAGGCTTAATACCCAAATAAGTGTTCACACTATACTCCTTTTCCCAAATAGGTGCCTACAATATGTTTTAACCCATCTAGGTACTTAACGTTACAAATATTACCACTTTAGGTGTCCGGGTCGTCAACGACGTTAAATTTCTTCATTAAATGACACGTTTCACAATATGATAGTTTTAAAGATTTTATATAGAATTAATATATATATATATATATATATATATATATATATATTTTAAGAAAACACATAAATTTTGAAATAACCCCAAAACTTTGAAAACCTTCATTTCAACCCTTAAACCCATGCTGACCGCCACTCTTTACCGTCGACGAAGCTCCACCCGACCTCACCTCCCCCCGGCGACCAAAACTCTTACGAAATCGTGATCGATCAACGACAAATCGACGTTTATACCTCATGAACCCTAGGATGAAAATTGTGATCCCACGCGATTCCACGACCAATCAGCAACAACTACGACTATATATAACTAGGATTATGGCAAGGACTACGTCGATGACGGGTTAGTGTTAGGATTTGGGATTTTCAGGCTTTTTTTAATTGAAAAGAAATTAGGGTTTTTTTCTATAAATAAAATAACACTTTTAAAATTAAATTTTAAAATTATAAGATTGTGCCACGTGTCACTTGACGGATAAAACTAATGATCGTTACGTCCCGGACGCCTAAAGTGGTCACGTTTGTAACGTTAGACACTTGAATGAGACAAAAATACTATAGGCACCAATTTGGGTAAAAAGGGTATAGTTTAGGCACTTATTTAGGTATTAAACCTTTTTTAAAATATTGAAATCAATTATAACATTTTCAAAAAAAAAAAGTTGTTTCAATCACCTAAAAATTCCATTTCTATAAAGAGAAGCAAAGTGTGAATTGAATTGATAACAATAAAATAAAAAACTCAAAACCAATAATTAATGCCAGAAAGAGAGTTTTGGATTCTAGTGAGGAAGACCTCAATAGATAGGTCTTGCAAATGCAGGTTTTTGCTTAGAGATCGAGGAAACTCCTATATATACACACACACACACATTTGCAATTATTTTTATTACAAATATTGATTGATCCTCTACTTTTGTCCAAAAGTCTTGGTTCCATGGCATGTGAGAGTTAATGAATTACAAGGCAGATTCCTTTTTATTTTTTAAATAGCAGCGAATTTATACATATTTTTTTAAATAGATCTATATTTATTAATAATATAATTTTTTTTAATAAGATAAACATAAAATTAAATTTTAAGATAAATAGAATTAATAAAATAAGTAATTAATCGAAGAAAATTTAAATTTTAAATTTACATGTGCTTAATCTAAATTAAGGGTGGATCCACTACCGTTCAAAAACCTAGTTTAAGTTTGTTTATAAATGAAGGAATATCCTGTTGGCCAAACCAAGTTGTTTGTACAGATTCTGGGGGCTTTGAATTACAAAACTACATATAAAATTGAGACAAAAACTTTTCTTGGGCTGACATTATAAAGATATGTTTGGACGTATTAGATAAACTATACATATAGTATTAGAATGAGCATAGCATAGGGTCAAGTAAAACTCAATTCTACCGGAAATTTTCAAAAAAAAAATTATTCGAATTGTAATTTCATAAATTTATCCTGATTCAAAAAAATTAATTAAAATTTAAGTTATAAAATATGATTTGAATAGATTGAATAATTTAAAATTTCTAATGATTAACAAATAGATTTTCAAGTTTGAGTTCTCTCAACTCTAAAAGATAATATTGTATATGAAAAAGATATAGAAAAAATATATTATATATGATTATAGAAAATCGTTTAAATTGAAATCAATTAGTACTATAATATTATAAATATTTACAAATAAATTTAAACAGAAACTCGAAAAACCCAATTCAAATTTTATAAATTCAACTTAAAATCTTTAGAAATAAAATTTAAATTATAAAATAAAACTCAATTTATTTTATCAGAGCGGATTGAATACTCATCCGAAACATAGCAGTGCAAAAAGAACATGTATTTAAGTTAAAAGAAGCAGTCCAGGGGCGGGGAAAAAGGTGTCCGAATCTACCTGGAAATTTGAGTGAGAAAAAAGGAACCCATGATGGGAGGAAAGGCATGAAAACACGACACACACAGATTCTCCTTAATCCTTACCGGTACTTTAGTATTTTTAAAACAAAAACAAAACTTGCTTTCACTGGCTTTTACTATATATTTCCCCCCCCCTACTGAATACAAACTTAACAAGCATGGTCATATCTGTCCACTTTACAATGAAGTATGAGATTTTTCACTGTTTGAAATGATGCAAAATCCCCTTTTCTTTTTTGCAGGGTCAGGGTAAAAGAGCTGCTCATCCACCTGCTGCCGTAGGATGCCCTCCATATTGCATCAGCATTAATGGCTCTACCCTTCTGATTTGCTTGCCGATGTAACAACAACATGAGCCACATAATTTGTTATTAGTAGTTTTCACTCTGTTTTATTTTCTCAAGATTTCTTCCCCATACCATTACATGTTGTGTCCAATGCAGCAATAATTATCAGTAATATATAATGTCCCTGTCATGGGATTGTAAATGTTTTGTTGCAGGTAACAAGGAAGCTCAAACTGTAACTGCTCCACTCCCAACAGTGTTTACCATTCGGATTATATAATATTTGTTCAAAATCTTTTTTTAATTATTGATAACATATTATTCCTACATAAATGTTTGAATTCGAAACTCCTAAGATAAACATCATACTCTTTTACTACTTACTTCACTAAATGGATTCAGATTCACTCACTTTTGTCTTTCTTATATTGAAAACATACCCATCTTTTGTAAAAAGCCCCACGCAAAAACCTTAAAATGTACTCTCGTACTTGTAAAGTTACAATTCCCCCTTACCCCAACTTTTCTCTTTTTCCTTTTTTTTATTTAAAAAAAGTGGTGTTTGTTTGTTATATTCTCTGATTGTCTGCATTAAATAGGTTCCACATCAAACCCCATACTCATTAATCCTCTTTCTGCCCACTCCTCCATCGTCTTCCCTCTCAAACAAGAGGAAAATATGTCTTTTCATTAGGCCCTACGCCCCCTCTCTTGAAAAGCCCTCCCCTTATACTTCTGGTTCTCACACCTCACAAATCTTTGGCTAAAAACTCTTGAAACAATCCATGTTCTTCTCTTCGAACCACGCTCACTGCTCCTTCAACTTTAACCAGCATGAAGAAGAGGGAGTACTGGAGGACCAAGGCCATCAAACGGAACCCATGTTCGAGAAGCCCTTGACTCCGAGCGACGTTGGCAAGCTCAACAGGCTCGTTATACCCAAACAGCATGCGGAGAAGTACTTCCCCCTCGGCGGTGACTCCAGCGACAAAGGGTTGCAGCTGAGTTTCGAGGACGAGTTGGGAAACTGTTGGCGTTTCCGTTACTCGTATTGGAACGGCAGCCAAAGCTACGTGTTGACCAAAGGGTGGAGCCGATACGTCAAAGAGAAGCAGCTTGATGCCGGTGACGTTATTTTATTCCAACGACACCGTTCGGATGGTGATAGGTTTTTTATAGGTTGCAGGAGGCGCGGTGCAGCCTCGGCTCCAGCTGATGGCGGAAACACCGTGACTGCCTCTGGAGACTGTGGCGATGAAGGGTGGTGTAGCAGTAGGGGATTGTATCAAGGACATCCTTATCTTGGCCACATTCAAGGCCATGCTGCTAATCTGCCATGCCCATACCCACCAGGCTGCCTTCTTGCAGGTACATACACACACATATGTAGGGTAGAATATGCGAAATTTAGCATTGTGAATAGCCCTTTCTTTGCATATTTTCAGGAAGCATTGTTGAAAACGTAGGTGGTGCAGCAGCCGGGAACCCAAGGAGGCTGGTGCGGTTGTTTGGGGTAAACCTAGAGTGCCAGCTCGATGAGTCGGAGCCATTAACGCCGGAAAATAGCTCGTCGGTGTCGGTGTCCAGCCAGCAGGGTCCACCCTCCCATCAGTTTTATAACTCTCAGTCAAACTACATGGTAAGCCGCATGCATCCTGATGTTTCATCATTATCATCATCCTAATCTAATGGTAAACTTAAAATACAAAGTATTGGGATTCTGGCTGTTGTTGTTTGTTTGCGATTCATGTTTAATTCGCAACTTGAGTTTGCCATTTGGCACGTGGCCTAATTGCATTTATTAAAGTATGACCAATAACCTCTGAAAAAAAGAGAGAGTTGCATATAATCTACTAGAAATAAATTTAAGACATAGAGAACAAGCATCTTTTATTTGGATTAAAGCCATGTAACAGAGGAGTGGGTATGGCTTATAAAATTTTAGTTTGTAAAGCAAGAAATGGAATAAGTGAGCTGTAGAATTTAATTCCAAGTGAACAGAGTTCAGATTGTTAGTTAAATTCGGCAAAATTGGCCTTGTGAGTTTTTTATTTAGCTTAATAGGGTAAGTAAAAATTTATTTTTGGATATATTGTATTTTTTATAGTGACATGAAATTTATCACGTCGAGTTGATGAGTTCTAATAAAACATATTTTTTTATTAACTTTTTATTTTGATAGGATATATTTTAATAAAAAATTATATTTTATTAGAACTCATCACCTCAACGTAACAAGTTATAATAACACCATAAAAAATATCGTAAATCTCCAAATATAAATCGAGATATCTTAATGGTTAAATAAAAGACCCGTTATTCTTATTGGACAAAAAAGCCATTAAATTTCAAGTCAAAACAGTTATTGTTTTCCGTGTTCAACTTGATGGTGAATTTCAATAATTAAGATGATGCCCAAGTAGATGATTGGTCAAAGCGTGTTCCATCATCCATTTGATTTTTAAAAAGTTCAATTCCACAAATTTAATCTCACACACATATTTGTATATGTAATTATATATTTTCAAATTGGTGAAAATCTCACTTTTTTCGTTCCTATAAAGATTTGATAGAATCCAAGAGATTTTGGATTATTCTAGCCTGCTTATAATAGTTAGGCACATATTCTATAGAAATTCTGAAGAGAAAAAAAATAGTAAATTAACAATGCAATTTCCTATATACAATATATTTAATTTGGTGCTGTGATCGTAACAGGATATGAATTTCCAGATGAGAAATCATCAAGGATAAGATCTGATGACGTGGCATCCAAGATTTTATTTTAGTTGACCCCTCCCCCACTTGGAAATGTCAAAATTATTATTATTATTATTATTATTATTATTACCTGAAGTAGTAATAGAAAAGGAGAAAACAAAAGAAATTTTATTTTTTGTAAAAGTAGAGGATAAAAATCAATGCATTTAGGTAGGCAGGAAGAGGGGGCCATGGGTATGTGATGCAAGGAAATTGCCAAATGGGGAAAACTAAGTGGTTTTGGAATTTATATAGGGGACTGTTGGAATTCAGTTGTTCAATGGGGAGAGAGTGATTATTAATCATCATCATAATGTAGGGGTACGGGGATGGTGGTGGGTGGGGAGGTTCAGTTCTTCAATGGATGGCTCACACTCCCCCATCTATATATCTCTTTTGACTTTAATGGCAGAAATATTATAATCTAATCATGTAAGTTGCAGATATCAGAATCTGAAAAGCTTTACAAATACAATTCATATTCTTCTTCTCTTTTTAACAAGGTCTTATATAATTTTTTATGCATAGAACGTAATAGGAGACGCCATTTTACTCACTCGTCTCCTTCAAGCTCTAGACCCAACTATGAATGTTCGATGTTGCCTCCCCACATCCAGCAACGGCAACCACATCGAACATTGTAGTTTCCCTTAGGGAAGAACGTTTTCAACTTCACAAATCAGAAACTATTCAGTATAATACGCCATAAACCTGCCAAAAAGATTCTTGTATACAATTATGACATTAGGAAATACTATAAACATTATACAATTACACAAATTGGCGGGCCAGCCAATCACCGGATCATAACCGTTATCGGAACTTAAAACAAGGAGGAACAACTGGCAGTTCAAGGATCAATGTTGCCATTGTGCCAAGCTCAGCATATATTGAAAACTAGCAAACGAATTTTATGAAACAGTGCACTATGGAAAATAGGGGGGAAAAGGTTTGAAACTAGCAGCCTCAGCATGCATGATATTGATAAGGTAGATTGTTCCTGCTATTTTAAGTATTTGAAATCTTTCAACTACCATACATATAATGAAATGACGGATATATTAAGAAACTGCTAATCGGAATGTGTAATTTCTCTAGAAAAAGAACACCAAAATAAGCTACGTTCTCATAACTGTTGCCAGTAGCATGCAATCAAATACCATGTATGACTGGGAATGCACTTTATTGACCTTGAACTCCATGCAACCAGGCTACTAAGTTCTCTTCTACCATTTTTCAACACTAAATTTACAGTCACGGTTCATTTTCAAGAACCTGAATCCACCAGCTGTATAAAATATAAGGTTCTTATGTACAGAATTTTAGTTAATCGGTAACATCAAAAGGCCTAGCACCTATGCATTAGGCAACTCATACTTAACCATTAAATCAAAACATCTAATGGATGTTCTTAATCAGGCAACTCATACTTAACCAGTAAATCAAAACATCTGATGGATGTTCTTAATCAAGCAATCATACAGACAGCTCAGAGGAAGCTGACAGAAAAGTATATTTCTAAGTTATGATTAAACCATTAAGCCCCAACAGTTAAGTAAACTCACTAATTGTCAACTGAGTTTGATATGGGAGCTGTCCAGTGATAAAAATCGATAAGCAACCCTTGAATGAATGGCTTAGATTAGTTAAACAGAAGTTTTCATGTCCGAAGTGCTTAAAGGAAGCTTGGACCACACATCAATGTGTATGGAATAATGGCTACAGGATTCTAGCTAGAATGCACATGTTTGAAAGACATTCCAGGTTAACCAAGGGATGCTAATACAGGCAGAAGGACTTGGTGACAAGAGAGTGACTAATCAGATGAAGTGTCTACTAATCATCAGGGCCCATAAGGATTTGGACAAGAGAGTTACCCATTGATCTCCACTGGAAATGGCCTCCAACGTTTTAGTGGCTCTGCAAGTGGGAGGTCACCAGGTATTTCTTATCAATGGCCTCAGGGTGTTGGCTAATCAAGAGATTGAAGGGTCTCCTGCTGTATGATGGGTTTGTCCAGGAAGAATAATTCCATCATGCATAAGTACTACATAAATATAGTAAGAACATGAGAATATTTCTGTATCCCACTTGGCTTTTCCTCTTATCGTACCTTTTGCTTTTGGAGCTAAGTCAACCTCATCTTCAACTCTCCGAACATCTGCAACAGAAAAACAGGTTAATTTATCCATACTTAAAGCCTGAGGAATAAAATCAAATCAATAGTATTGAAAGCAACATTGACCTGCACCAATATATCAAGAGATGACTAGATATTGTAATAATTGTAACCTAGAAAATCTAACTTCAAAGGAAAAATAAATCTAGGTAGGAAATTACACACCTTAAAAGTTATTAGAACCATCAAAAGCATACCTTTAAAACAAAGGTTTGTCTAGCACTAGAATGTCCATGATCTGCAAGCTCTGCAAGAAAAATTAATCTTGAAGCCAAAAAGTGTCATCCCTAAGTCGCCGAGGAAACAGACAACTTTCTAGAAGAATCTCATAAAAGTTTTCAGCTGAAGACTTGAAAGAAAAAAAAATGTGCCCAGGTCTCAAAGCAAAACATTTCAGTAAGTGATGACCGGTGTACAATAGCCCCACTAACAGTATCACTTGAAAGTTGACAGAGTACCAGATTTCTTGCGCAAAGTATTAAGAAAAAATGGTATCTTACAATAATGTTACATCCTATTGTTAGTGCAAGCTTAACTGGAATTTCAACACTGCACCAAACTCTAATTCTGGAGCCCCCACTTCCATTCAACCATTTGTATTGTGCAAGTCATTTTCAACCTCTCCAATCTCTACAATATGCAATGTCCTTCAAACATTTGCTATTGCAAATTTGACAAAATTTGTTTTCTACAAGACTTTCCCAAAAAGCTAAAAGCAGAATCCAGCAGTATCTGTTCAAATCATAAATTGATTGTAGGTTGAATATTTCACCCAATAGATTCCTAAGAATCCTCGGGAGGCCAGAAAAGATCCTCACTTCAGAGAAGGAAAACCCGTAGTACCCTGCTATCAATCCATATGAAGAAACAATGTCCCACTTGCATTCCAACAAAAAGACAGAAGGTTTTTACTATGCTTTTCATTATAGTAAAATACAAACTTTTTTCTGAGGGATACATGCCTAATTCTGCATTTTCTTAGGCTTCATTTGTTTAATGCTTTAGCTATTTCAAATAAATGCTAAAATCCAAAGTCAAAAAATAAAATGAAAAGAAAAATAGCAAAAGCGGCATCCAAATAGACTTCAAATAATATTGTTTGCAATAAGACTAGAACAATACTTTTCTTTCATATACAAGCTCATTTCTGATTTCTTTGGTGTACGAGCAGCTCATTCAGGATTGACCTTATGGAAAAGCCAAGATCAAGTACTGTATGCGAACTGACTCCATTAAGCAACTGGCAGCATATATCTAAGTATTTCTTTCGGTTGCACTTACCAAAGACATAAGGCATCATGGTTCTTTTACATTTCTCCAAGCATAAGGATGTTGAATACTAAACTAAAAACAAAAACTAACAAACATGAAACGTCAAGAAGGAAAAAGCTTCACCACTATGAATGGAGAATTCTCAGGATATGGATCATGCTTGTGATTTCATGCCAACACAGCTCCACCAAAGCTCTAAACTTGTATCTGCAATAGGTATGCTGGAGAAGCACTCACATGCATCTCCATTTATGCACGTAACAACCATCAAGTTGAATTTTTCTTGGTATTGCTATCTTCCCGTGGTTTAGAAGAATCTTCCTTTTTCTCCATGACATGCTGGATACCTTCTTGATATCCTTCTATAAAACTCTTAGGATGCGTTTGGATGGGGAAAAGAAGATTACCGGGGGGAAAAAGTTTTTTCCAGGATGTGATACCCATGTTTGGATTGCAAAGATTCCCAATAAGGGGTAATAAGCTATTTT